CATTTGCAGAGCCAAACTCAAAGGTTGGCTGCAGAATATCTAACAAGTTGGCGCTGCATTTGCAGAGCCAAACTCAAAGGTTGGCTGCAGAATATCTAACAAGTTGGCGCTGCATTTGCAGAGCCAAACTCAAAGGTTGACTGCAGAATATCTAACAAGTTGGCGCTGCATTTGCAGAGCCAAACTCAAAGGTTGGCTGCAGAATATGTAACAAGTTGGCGCTGCATTTGCAGAGCCAAACTCAAAGGTTGGCTGCAGAATATCTAACAAGTTGGCGCTGCATTTGCAGAGCCAAACTCAAAGGTTGGCTGCAGAATATCTAACAAGTTGGCGCTGCATTTGCAGAGCCAAACTCAAAGGTTGGCTGCAGAATATCTAACAAGTTGGCGCTGCATTTGCAGAGCCAAACTCAAAGGTTGACTGCAGAATATCTAACAAGTTGGCGCTGCATTTGCAGAGCCAAACTCAAAGGTTGGCTGCAGAATATCTAACAAGTTGGCGCTGCATTTGCAGAGCCAAACTCAAAGGTTAACTGCAAAATATCTAACAAGTTGGCGCTGCATTTGCAGAGCCAAACTCAAAGGTTGGCTGCAGAATATCCAACAAGTTGGCGCTGCATTTGCAGAGCCAAACTCAAAGGTTGGCTGTAGAATATCTAACAATTTGGCGCTGCGACTCAAAGCTTTCATGCAGAATTTGTAACAATTTGGCGTTGCAATTGCAGTGCCAACTCGAAACATTCATAATTTGCAAAAAGGAATAATATATCTGGATTTTAGTAACGATTTTGCTTGTGTTGCCACATTGTAAGTATCGTGATGAACTTGTCTTAGCCAGTTTGGATAAATATGCGTTAATCATTTAATTGCAGCATTGGCATTATCCTTGAGATCAAGTTCATTCAATTTTCTCAAAATTTCATATTATCTGTCCAGGGTTTCATTCTTCATGTTATCGCCAATTGTTGCTTAAATTAACACATTTTTTAAGATATTTCCTTTACAAATAAATTGCTTGCTAAAACCCAACTGTATTTTAATTTTTATCAACGTTTTAGTGAAATTTCGTGCGGAAAATGCAGCTTTATTGAATATTTGTTCGAAAATGGACTAAATAGAATATTTCACTTAGCTTTGGTACGTGTTTAGTCTGTCATACATATTAAATATTAAAATGCACCCATGGCTATGAATGTTTAGGTCCACGGTTAAATTTAACTTTAAATATATTTCATTTATTAATGTAGCATATTCATCATGCAGAATATTATAAATATATTCCTATTATCTTATAGCAACCCAGTGTGGATTGTTGTCTGCCTATATTAACTTACCAGCAGCTACAAGGTATGATGGTTAGACTGCAAAAATATAAAGCTCTGAGATAAGTCCATTCGGTTAGCACAATTCATTCATGTATTCACCTGGCTGTGTGACCACCACATTTCAGGATATATATATATATATATATATATATATATATATATATATATATATATATATATATATATATATATATATATATATATATATATATATATATAAATTGCGATTGTACTAACTATGCGTTGGATATGTGTGAATGGCCCTTGGCTAAGCAATTTTTCCGTTAGAGCCATTGCTAAAATTCCAAACGTCGAGACTGCAACAACGTACGTCACTTCTTTGTCTTGTACCAGAATCCAACCAATTAAATGGTGAGCGATTTCCATCGCTACCGTAAACATCTTCGAGCTTGAGTTTCGAATGTCTCCCGCCAATTTCTTGAACGCAATATTCTGTTCTTGGTTTCGATTCGGTTGGTAGCCGTGCGAAGAGTCACTGAACGCTTACCAATTTGTCTTTGGATCAACAGTTCTAACAAATACTCGATGATATCGCTTCATTGCAAACAAACAAATCGAGCGTGATGTTAGTTTGGTCGTGCAATACACAAACGCAAGTCCGAACATTGTGCCAACAACACGAGGCCATCACATTATCATATTTCACACTACACTTTTTTATCTAACATTTAGGGCCTATTGCGGCGTTTCGTCCTTCATGGACTCGTCAGCAGGGATTTGGGGTTGGTATATGTGTGAGAAGGACACAGAATACAGAAACCGATTTGGATTACAGAGTGAATAAACATAAAAATAGCAATACATGCGTATAACTAATAGTCATTGACTATTGCAAAATAAATGTAACTATATATAAACTGTCTTACCAAATTCGCTGCCATTTTTTGTCAAACCAACTTACCAACACGTTGCCGTTGGACCATGGTTGTAATTTCTTGTCTTTGGATCAACAGTTCTAACAAATACTCGATGATATCGCTTCATTGCAAACAAACAAATCGAGCGTGATGTTAGTTTGGTCGTGCAATACACAAACGCACCATGTCAGCCATACTCGTTCGCTCAATTGAATTTGGCGCGCTATAGCGCATATGCAGCCTTTGCCATTGGTATCAGTGTTGACAGCTAACTTCACTATATTCATTTAATCATCGTTAGATTTTAACTATTTAAATTTTTAAATATTAATATTAGAGGTTATAGAGAGGTATAGAATATCAAATCAGCTTGCTCGTTAACGCAATTTGTACTCATGCGTCTGTCAATAGAACCTACACCTGGCTCAGCCATATATATGGTAACGAACACCTCCAGACTTTAATTACTTCACACCTTTTTTGCCAGTCCACCCCCAGTCATAAATAATGAATGCATGGTCAGTTGTAATATAGGTACTGTTCGGGTCTTATTTTTGTGGTGGAGTGTGGTGGAGTGTTGTAGTAGTAGTAGTAGTAAAAACTTTATTTAACCACGCTTCCCTCATCACCCATGGATGATTTTCATGAGGGGCGTCACACAAATTACATTCTAAAAACTAATATAAATTAAATATGAAATAGAATAACTCAGAATAACAAATACGTACATAAAAAAGTTAAAAAACCAAGACTATTCGATGCCTGACTCTGTAGCACACATTATTTTATCAAATTTTTGAAGCTACTTAAAGATTCTGTTTGCTTTGCCTGCGTAGGTAAACTATTCCATAGAACAGCCCCGCTATATCCAAAACTCTTTTTTAAATATTCAGTACGTAAGTCCCTTGTTATAAATTTATCCTTTAAGTTCGGAGCTGAGTGGTTGTTTAATATTTTGAACATCAAGACCGATTTATTCATTTTATGTCTGTCGTTCAGATTTTTCGATGACATAGCATGGAGCAAATCTGTCGACCTGACATCATAATTGGCACCTGTCATAATTCTTGCCGCCCTATTTTGTAGTTTTTGTAATTTCTCTTTGAGCATGCTTCCACAATTATCCCATAAAGATGAACAATAGTCAAAATATGGGAGAACGAGAGAATTATATAAATTTTGTAGTGTTTCGGACGGTACAAACGGCTTTACTCTTTTGATGATTCCAATACCGGAGCCAACTTCCCTACATATTGTGTCTATATGATTTTCCCAGCTCATTCTTTCATCTAGTTCTACTCCCAGACATGGAAAAGAGGAATATCGAGTAACCGGTTTATCATTTATCATAACCTGTTCATTACCAACTTTGTTTTTTAAGTTATAAGGTGATCCTATAAACATTGCTTTTGTCTTTTTTTGTGTGAAGTTGCAATTTATTTCGAGAGAGCCATTTGACTATATTTTCTAAATCCCGATTAAGTTTGGTTACTAGTTCGGAGAAACTTGCGGAAGATGCATATATATGAGTATCGTCAGCATACATGCCAGGAGTTGTGTTTTTCAGACATTCTGGCAAATCATTTATATATAGTAAAAACATGAGGGGTCCCAAGATAGATCCCTGTGGAACTCAGCATACAATTTCCTTAGCCAACGATGTGTGGCCATCGAGGAGTGAGGAGGAGTGTGGTGGAGGGAGGGTGCCTAGTGACGTCACTCATTAGTATACAATACGTCATAATTATATTCAATGACGTCACGCGGGCATGTTCGGGCGAAATCGGTCAAAACTTGCTGACTAGGCAATTTTTAGCGTCCCTCCACCTGTGTGATACAATAGAGGGATTAATATTGGCTTGCTATGATTGGTTGTTTCATTTAAGAACTTTTATACAAGTGTCTGTATAAAATCGACAAGCGTCTTGTAATAAGCATAGTTCTGCATCAGTCATGGAGTGTCTGAATGGAAAAGCCACATCTTACAATTTATTGGAAGGAATATATGCGAATGCAGTCGGACATGAAGTGGAAAGACTTTGTGTGGATTCCTGTAATGGTTGTCAAGTCAAAGGCAACATGACTGCTTCATGATGAACGAAAACGAACGATGGCAAATGTATGGTTTACAAGCAATCGAACGAGTGAATGGTAAGCTTATGGTTTGGAATGTATTCGCTGAGGCAATGAGGGTACTAAAACTGCCGGTTGACAGAGATCTACTCGAACATTTACAACAACGGGAAAAAGATCCAGATTCTACGTTTGTCGATTCATTGATGGAACTACATCAGAACACTGAGAACCACGAACTACAATGTATACTGAACTATTTGTTTCATTGGAGATTAGAAGATCCGCTCGAGTCAGCAGCTGAAGCGTTTTTCTCTTGCCCACCGAGTTACATGTATTCTGTGAAGGCGACGGGTGAACGATCTAGAAGTTTTCAGGCCGATCATAAAATTGCTTATCAAGGATTCTTGGAGAAAAAGCTTGTAGAACAGTTTAACAAACAGTTTTAGTTGTAATATTTTTTGACACTATAGTCTGTTATTTGTATCAATAAACATGTTTTAAACTTTGCAAATGTTGCGTTGTTATGTGTTGCTAAGTCGTTAGGAGTCGTGTCGAACAAAAATCTGCATAACTAAGTGTATCCCAATGGATAGATAGGGATTATTTATAACGCAGGTGTATGCCTTAAAATCGGGCGCGAGGCTTTGTGGGCAAAAATTTACACAAGAATTTAGATTTAAAACACATTTATTTCTTTAAGTACTACAAAGTTAATAATTCTTGTCTGTATAAATATATTATCCACTTCAGAGTTTTGTCCCGTTTTTGTTTCTAACTTTAACCGCTCCTTTGAGCCATCATTCATTTCTGCATTGTCCACGTTCTTTGCAGATTTTGTGTTCGATTTTGTTCTCGATCTTCCTGGAGGATTTTGGTTGACGGATGGATATATTCTTTATCCCGCTTTTATTCCACTTTGACTGCTTTTTACTGTTTCCAGTTAATCTGTACAACTCTGCTAAACATTTTCTAAGTCTAAAGCTGTTGGCTTAGCACGAATAAGATAAGGTTGTCTCTCTTGGGATGAAAGTTCATGGACGTCTGCCAAATGGTTTGCCAATCTTTTTAAAGCTCGCTTGCCGCAGATGGGACAATCTTTACACTTCCGAGGCATAATGTCAAATGATAAATATCAACTAATTTCCTAACATTAAATAGTTGTGGCCCCAAAGGCCTTTTTGAAGGTTTGCCGGGACTTTGGAGAGGGTTAGACAAATGGGTTAGGGGAAAGTAGCTACCACACAGGATCGTATTTTATTTTTATAAATCAAACACAAACAACCATTAACAGTCAATGTCACTAGGATACCGTGTGTATCTGAAAAGTCTTTTCAAAAGATATTTTCTCCTGTCAATAGCGGCCTCTAACGCTTCCTTGTGGTCGAAATTATCAGCGTTGACAAAGACATCCCTGGTTTCCATAATCTTTTTGTGTATTGGATCTCTCTTTAGTTGTCTTATCCATAGTAGATGTTCCAAATAAATATTCTGCAAATCTTTACAAAGTTTTGGTAGGATAAGTAAGTATGCCTTGTCTGTAGCTTCGTTTTCGTCAAAACCGTCTGCAGTGAAATTCTGCGTTATACTAGTTCTTCGAATTCCGATAATTAACTTTGTTGGGCTGCTTCAGCTTTTAAAGGAGCCCATGGATCGCTTTCGTATTCATCACCTACTTCACTACTAGTATCATCTACATTATCAGAATCATGCACTTTCTGACGCAGAATCAGTTTCCACTTCGTTGTCAGTGTTATACGAATTCTCGTTGTTGCCACATGCACAACAAAGACAATTGTATACATTTTGTGAATAAATTCGAATTTTTGTAAATGTTGATTCACATAAGTAGGATATATTCTTTGCTTTTGAGCATGTAATAATTCTCCAAAAATCGTAAATTTTGCAAACTTTTTAAAACTGTATTGAGTCACCTTAAAACATTTCACTTCCATCACAGAGCTTTACGAGGAATGTGATTTCTCCACTCAGTCACAACTGTAGCAATATTCCACACAGGCTATCACAATAACGCTAAGCTCTGCCTTCCAAAGCAATACAAAGTTTTTGCATCTTTCTTATCCAATTTTAGTCCAAATTTACCCAAAATTTAATCAGTTGACCCTTGGGCAATGTCCATTTATCCCCCAAATTTCTTGTTAATACGCTTGATATATTTAAAGTTATCCTGCTGACAGATAAACACATACACAGATACACTAACACACATACAAACATGAATTAAAACATGACTAAAGCACCCTCAGTAATTTCGTACCTCAGCTTCAATCGTCCAGGAATTGGTTGATTCAAAGTTGTTCGACCTCATTTAAAATTTCCCGCCACGTTTGAGTTTTCGCAAAACTATTAACAACGAGAACAAGGAGATGTAAATTCTAACAAAGTTGGTTGAATTTTTTTAAGTTTATTATTAATCAGAAAAGAACAAAAAGGTGCTGCTGAACTAACTTAGGGGTTCAGAGTATATTCTAATTAAAAAATGTCACGACTTTATATCACTGAACGATATTTATAGGTTTTAACTAATCACAATATGGCATACATGTAACATGTGATTCGAATCTTGCATTTTGTCCACCCTTGTGTTTATTAATAATCAGAACCACGTTAACCTTTACTTGGATTGACTTTGAGTTTGTTAAAATCAAGAAAAACCAAGATCAATTCAAGTATCTGTGATCCTGATAGAATGATTGCCAAAATTTTTTTATGTGTAAATAGACTGCTACCAATTAATGGCCCTATAAGTAAAGCCAGTCTACTCAATACACTCAGTATGGCTTGCACCAGGCCTTGATTGTCTGGATTAGTGTGCTTCGAAACTGAAGAACGACCAACTGCATTAATAACCGTCATTGCTATGCCATCCAAGGCAACTGTTAGTAACGAGCTATAATAAGCTCTGCTAGACATCGGGGAAGAGGACGCAAGCAGAATAACACCAACAGATGCAAGGCTACTGAAAATAGCTGAAATCAACAGGAGGAGTCGATCTGGAACTCTCCGTGACAAAATGAAGAGAATAATTGCAAGAATGACATTTTCTACACCCCACATAGTAAATAGAAAACTGACGTTGTTTTCATTCCAGTGTAACATGCGCTCAGCAAGAAAATATTGAGTATACCACTACAATCACGTGAAATTTGGCAAACATATCTATTACAGTATCTCGGAATGACACACTGCTGGATTTCCTTGCGTCGTCGGGATTTACACTGTCGTCATTTTTTTCTATTTCCTCAGTTTTGGTGAAGTCGTCATTTATGAACGGAGATGATGTGATATCATCGTGATTGTCCCCTGCACTTTCCATGTTAGACGCTACTCGGAATTGCTCTTTGTTCGAAAACTGTTCTTCAGTTAGACCGTCTGAAACTGGTTCATACCCTTTCTCTTTTCTCATTTCGTCTGAGAGATCATAGACAAACACATACATGATACCAGTGACAAGTATCCACATAAGAGACATGAAGAATCCCGGCGATGTGCGGAAATCAATGTGCCAGTTACCGATGTAGAAATCAAACTCTTTTAGAAAGATATTTAGTGCTGGTCCTAAGGCAAGTTCCAAAACGAAGCTTACTTTAAGTAATGCAAAGTACCGAGTACGTTCTTCTTCAGTTGTGATTCTGGCTAATTCTGCCCAAATAGCTGACACATACCCTTCTCCAAAGCCTGCTACCATGCGTCCTAGCAAGGGCAAGGACATATTGAAATGAAGTGAGTACATTGCATTGCCAACGACCTGGAAAATAATTTACTGTGCTAAGTTGACAATCTATGGGCGGGGGAGGGGGGCTGCGATGTTGGGTTGCTCTCATATGACCGCCTTTAGTTGCTATAAATCTCAGTTCTTTAATTACACTTTGCCTGAATATCGAATGCTTTTTCATGGTTAACAAAATTAAGGTTACACTATTGTCAGAAACTCTTGGGGTGGGGGGTGGGGTGGACAATTGCTCTCCTATTGCGTCGGTTATATCTCTCGCTCTTCATGCAGTGCCCAGGGCATTTTTTAAGAATTTGCCCGTGGGGGGGGACCTTCAAAAGGGACCATACTATACTGAGTGTAGAGAGATGACAGACGGTTGTTGGTGACTAAAAATTTTGATGGGCTAACGTACTGTATGTAATAGTAGGGAGGCCTGGGGGAGAATAATTTTTGTATTATTTATCCCTAGGACTGCATTTCGTGCGTTTTCTAAAACAGATTTTTCGCTATTCAGCGTTACATTATACTGTAGATAGACTAAACAACTAAGAATTACAATACTAAAGAAAAGTAGAAGAAAATTAGGATTGTCTAGTAATATTTTTGAAATTAACCACAGATGCAGTAGCATAAACAGTCGACAGGTAGGCTATTCCACAGGGCGGTTCCTCTATAAGTAAAACTTTTCTTAAGAGACTCAGTCAAAGGTCTTGGGGCAAAAAGCGTAGAATCAGAATGACAAAGATTGTAGCTGTGTATCATAATAGTTTGTGTGAATTTGCTTGAAAGATAGTTGGGTACCATTTTGTTGATTTGGTTGCAAATGCACGCGATTTACAGTTGTGTAATCGCTCATACAACTGGTATGACAGGCCCCCAATATAGGTAGCCTACAACTCTTCAATATATACATGTAAAGTTGTGTTTCCGGAATCCCCATGTATAACACTTAGTGAAACCCACCTATACAATAACAGATTGTGCATTTGTTTTGAATGCATAAACAGCCATGTCGTACCAAGAATACATGGCAAACCCAATTTGGGCAAAACCCTATACTGTTTCAAGTTAGTCATATATTTACTACATACTCCAGCTAGATATACTGTACTCGCTTTCTGTGCGCTTATAATACCGGACCGGGAATGAAATTCGCAGAGGCAAGCAATGATTTAATTTTCATCCACATCATAACAAATAATCTGCATACATAAGTTGTTTTATAAGTTGGTATAGGTCGCATTGGCATATATTCACTAACATAACCAATCAGATCTTGGACTTTGACGAAAGAACATTGCATAAATGAATATAAGTCCGAAATTACGGGAACCACTGAATCGATTTTGATAAAATACAAAATAATAGGCCGAAAATTGAAAGCTTTTTGAAAATTTATTTCGACATTTCGACTAAACTATAGTCATCATCAGGAAATGAATGAAACTATAGTCATCATTCATTTCCTGATGATGACTATAGTTTACACGAAACGTCGAAATAAATTTTCAAATTGCTTTCAATTTTCGGAGTGTCTACCCAGCGGGCAAAATGACGTTTATCCAAAGTTGAATCAACGTTGGAAATGACCTTCCAGACGTTGGATAGACGTTGAAAAAGGGTTGACTATGCAAATTGGATCGACGTTACTGTTTCGACGTTGAAACAACGTTGAAATTAGGTTGCCGATCTCGTTAACCATATTCAACGTTGAATCCACGTTAAAACGTTGAGATTGGTTCACAAATCGACGTCGTACATTTAACCATGAATGAACGTTAATTCAACGTCTGTTGCATGGCTGCTGTTGAACCAATGTTTGTAATACAACGTCAGAGCAACGTAGATATTAGGTTGTCGACGTCGCAACCTTTTTTCTACCAAATTTCAACGTTGAAACAACGTTGTGTGCCCGGTGGGTATTGTTTTGTTTGTTGATATAAGTCCGCTTTCGTCCTTAGATGCAGGGCAACTATTTGGATCAAATTTGAACTGGGTTTGAAAATTTCTACGCAATACAGTATTGCTTACCTCAGCCAGATTCCAAATAAATCCGGACAATCGAAGATTCATATTTCTGTCTGCGAGATAACCAACCAAGATGCCGGAGACAATGCCAACTGTGTTATAAGCAGATAATACCAGACCATAATACCAATAATCGGCGTGAAACATTTGTAAATATAGCCATACAGAGGGAAATATCACTCCCTCCTCTGCTCCCATGAAGAACATTCGCACGGAAAATGCGAACACTGTTAAACTTCGCTTTTGAGAAAATGTTAGATTCTTCATGTTTTACTCTGATTATCGTGCAATGAAAATGAAGAAAAACATTTTAATAATTAAGTTATTTGGCATGCATGATCTAGCGTGAATTTGCTGGTTTTATTGTCTATTGGAATGTTAATTATGGTGTGGAATATACTTTGTTTACGTGGTATGTGTGTTTACGTACGTCATTTAATAGCACGCATTTGAATTTTTACTCCTGTATCAGAAAGTGTGTTATGATTTTGCTTTATCACTTTAAACTCAATACTGTTTTTAAATTCAATACTATCAGGATTTTTCAGCATTTGATCATTTTTACCTAGCACGTCATTGAATTGAAAATCAATTAAGGCAAATAATCGAAAACGTCTGAGATAACTTACATTCCGATATCGTTTAGTACTCTTTAACTTGATACGCCACTTGCTTACCTTCCCGCCCCTCTGCCAGAGCATTAAACCATCTACAAACATTGCAAGAGAGTAGAAAAGCCGTTGGATGTAAGATCTAAATTTCATTTCCACAGCGTGATTCTGATTGGCTTAGAGCGAAATTGTCAAAAAAATCCACTGATTGGTCGAGAACAAAATCCCCCCTTGTTTCTCACTGGTTAATTTAGTACGCATCTGATTGGTTAATCGGATATATCAAGCACATCTGATTGGTTAATGGTTCCTTATAATGGTAGCAGTTGCAGTAGTAGAAGTCAAATCTGAACCTCTATTAGGTCGGTTAGTGAATGACTATGTAATAAACGTTATAGAAAATCTGAAACAGTACAGACAACAACTAAGCGAAAAAGCTTTGCATGCTCTTTATAAAATTCGTAAAAATCTAGATTTTCATAAACTTTCATAAAATACAGCTACAAAAATTTTTGATAATTTCCCCCATTCTACTATATAACTCAGAGGTCTGGGGAGCATACGAAAAAAATGATCTAAATAAATGTAATAGTTCAGAAACAGAAAAAATTCATTTAAGATTCTGCAAGCTATATTTGGGTGTTAACAGAAAAGCCAGTAATGTGGCAGAAGTGAACTTGGGAAATACCCACTAAGAATCTCTTAAAAAGAATATAATAAACTATTTTAAACATATTCTTAAACTAGACGACAACTCAATCGTTAAACAATCTTTCCTAATATCTAAACAACTATTTGAAAAAGGCAAAGAATCGTTCTATACCAACGCAATAAACATGCTAAAATCATTCTATGATAATTGATCATATAACAAACTTGGAAAGTGATATAGTCAACTACGATACAAAAACTATCGTAAATAAGATGAAAGATAAATATTTTGAATTTTGGCGACATAAAATGATTAACTCCTCCAAACTCTCTTTCTTTTGTACATTTAAAAATGAGTACAAAATGGAAGAATATTTATCCCTTATTGATAGCCCAACAATAATGTTTTAAATCAAAACAATTCAATATGCTAAGAGAAATCATTTTATGAAATAAAATTGGGGGTTCACGGAAGTCGTTCTCGAGTTAAATTACTTTAAAGCCAAAATATCCGCCATACTGAAACGTCATTGTTGCCACATGCACAACAACGACAATTGTATAAATTTGGTGAATAAATTCGAATTTTTGTACATGTTGTTTCACATAAGTAGGATATATTCTTTGCTTTTGAGCATGTAATAATTCTCCAAAAATCGTAAATTTTCCAAATTTTTTTAAAACTGTATTGAGCCACCTTAAAAAAATTCACTTCCATCAAAGTGCTTTACGAGGAATGTGATTTCTCCACTCACTCACAACTGTAGCAATATTGCACACAGGCTATCACAACTGCTAAGCTCTGCCTTCCAAAGCAAGACAAAGTTTTTGAAACTTCCTTATCCAATTTTAATCCACAGTGACCCAAAATTTAATCAATTGGCCCTTGGGCAATGTCCATTTATCCCCCAAATTTCGTGTTAGTACGTTTGATAAACAAGGGCAGATTTCGTGCTCGACCAATCAGCGCAGTTGTTTACATTTTCGTTCTCAGCTAATCACAATGCAGGAAACGAGAAATTTAGACCAAGGCGAGCTAGAAAATATCGCCGTCTTCTCGGGCTTCCGTGACAATCAATTTTAGCTTTTTAAATTTAAAACCAAAAGATTATGATGCAGCACATTAAAATCTAAAACTTTGCCGAGGTTATTTTTAAATTTCGACCTAGAGCGGAAAATATCCAGGTTGAAATTTTTCCCTTTGTCGCGTATACTAATTTGAGTAATCTAATTTGACTGCAATCAAAACTAAAAATTGCTATATTTTCTCTGCTTTTAAGTTTTTGTTGGAAAGCTCTTTTTCATTCTTGTTGCAAATTAGTTTGGTCAATGTTTTATTAATTTATTTCAAAACCTAGACGATAACGCGTTTGTAGCGCCTGGTTTAAAAAAAATATATATAGTCGCACGCTCGCAATCATACGGGAAATCAATACAAAAATATTGTCCGACCGATTTGGCAGACTAAATCAGACTCTCTAAACGCGTTATCTTCTAGGTTATGAAATAGTACATTGACCAAAACGATTTTCAACAAGAGCGAAAAAGAGTTTTCCAACAAAAACGTAAAGCAGAGAAAAAAAAGCAATTTTAATTTTATTGCAGTCAAATTAGATTACTCAAATTTGTATACGCGACATAGGGAAACATTTCAAACATGGATATTTTCCGTTCTAGGTCGAAATTTAAAAATGCTCACGGCAAAGTTTTAGATTTTAATGTGCTGCATCATAATCTTTTGGTTTTAAATTAAAAAAGCTAAAATTGAATGTCACCGAAGCCCGAGGGGACGGCGATATTTTCTAGCTCGCTTTGGTCATGTTAACTTTTGATAATATAATTCATATCTTTCGTATAAACCTTCGATTGTTCTACTTATATTTCCCTTTATTACGTCAACCAACCATAAAAACAATAAGTTTTATATCCCTTAATTTCTATAAAATACAATTTACAGCGCCATAACTCTAACAACAACAAGAGAGTTCACATGTTCTCAATTAACCAATCACGTTAAACTATATCTATAATTATGTTAAATTATTACTGTTTCCACTTAACGTTAAAAATTTCAATTTTCCTACTCAAATTCGTACACTCCCCCCATTGGCCAGTGTGTTCTATTCGTCCTCGAAATACTGGCCAATCCGGTCGTTAGCAATAACTGCCGCAGCCCTCTTGGGCGTTGTCCGTTCAAACGTTTCAGTCTTACCTTCGTCTCCGCGCGCTGGCTTTACCTTGTCTTCTTCCGTGTTTGCGCACCGTATCTCCAATGGATAGAGTTTTTGTAAAGGTCTGTCGATTATATTTCTTTTACCGTTTTTCACGCGAAGAACTCGAGCACCTCTAACGTTACCGTCTCTGCCCGTCACGAGTCTCTCGACCTTGCCCATCGACCACAATCCTCGTTGCAACTGCGACTCATCCCGAAGCGAAGCAATATCTCCGACTTGAACAGGTGACGTGCTAATATTACCCTTTTTCGGACGATGAAACTCACGAATGTCAACAAGGTACTCGCGCTTCCACCGTTGCCAAAAATGTTGAATTTTCTTCGCGACGTACGTTGCACGTCTTTGAACTGCTTCCTTACCGCTTTCACCGTCAAAGTTTTCTTCTCGAACTACACCGTCAGGTAAATTCAACAATCTACGCCCGATAATAAGATGTGCGGGTGTGATCGCTTCTTCGATGTCATCGCTGTACGAGTATGTCAAGGGACGTGAATTCAAAACAGCCTCGATTTCTGCGAGAATGGTAGATAGTTCATCAAACGATAACTGCGATTTTCCGAGCACTTTCTTTAAGCACGTTTTAGCTCCCTTGACCATGCGCTCAAAAAATCCACCCCACCAGGGGGATTTTGCAAGATTGAATCTCCATTCAATACCTTTGTTGACCAGAAAGTTCTTCACCTTGGGTCTGTCGAATAGTCTTTGAAGCGTTTTCTTGGCTGACTTGAACGTTTTGGCGTTATCCAAGACTATAAGCCGAGGAAGCCCGCGACGACTGACAAATCTTCTGAGACACAACATGAATGTTTTTGCTTCGAGGTTTGGAACAAGTTCCAAATGTACAGCTCTGCTACTGGCACAAGTGAATAACGCTACGTAAGTCTTAATCATTTCTCTTTCGCCGTTGTTCCAAGACCTTGCATAGAGTGGACCTGCGAAGTCCACCCCTACGCAACTAAAGGCATATTCTTCGCAAACACGAAATGACGGTAGATCCGGTGATTCTGGAATTGGATAATGTCTCCCTTGAAGTCTTTTACAGACAGAACACTTAAAGAGTACAGACTTAACCGTCTGTCGACCCTTGGTAATCCAAAACTTCGAACGCACTTCGGCTAGTGTTTCCTTCAAGCCATTATGAAGGACATGTTCATGACAATATCGTACAATTAGAGTAGTGAGCCAATGATGACGAGGCAATAAAGCAGGGAATCTGGTAACGTATGGAAGTTCTGCATTACCCACACGTCCCTTACACCGAATAACTTGATTTTCATCTTTAAACAGTCCCAGTTGCCTTTCTAACTGCTTTATGTCCATGTCCCGCTGTGCCTCCTTCGTCCATATGATTTCTGCAGCTTTAATTTCTGCAGTCGTAGGTGAGCCAGTGCTATATGGTTTCCTTTGAATGTGATTGATAAACCTCAATACATACGCCGTAATTCGCAAGAGTTTGTGGAATCTGGATACACGTTTAGGATCAAGCAGGTATGTTAAATTTACTTGGGTATTCGCCAGGCTTGTAGTTGATAGACCTCCTCGATTTAACTTTAGTTCTTGATTGCATTCGTCCGAAGGTTGGGAAAGGGATTTAGAAGCTGGCCATTCACCTTCATCGCAAACCAACCACGAAGGACCATGAAACCAAGTGTCGCTAGTCTGTAATTGTGATGCCTTTGCTCTCCGCGAAGAAATGTCTGCCGGGTTATCCCTTCCGGGAGTGTGAGACCAACATTCTACCGGCACTAAACTACGAATTTCATTGACTCGGTTTTCCACAAACGTCTTCCATTCCTTTTCTTTCCCCTGAATCCAAAACAATGCTGTGATCGAGTCCGTCCAGCATTTTATTATGTCAATATCGATTACCGATTGAAGCGCTGACATAACTTTAGCCATTAATCGTGCAAGGATTAAAGCAGATAACAGTTCAAGTCTTGGTATTGAAGTCTGGGAAAGTGGAGCTACTCTTGTCTTCGACATAACTAATGAAGTACGGATATCGACCTCGGTCTCGACTCTCAAATAGACAACGGCTGCGTAACAGACACACGAACTGTCACAAAATCCATGCAACTGATAAGAAATAGAACCGTCTGCCGAGTTACTCAAGTAACACCGTGGAATTTCGATGTACCCAACCTTGTTCAATTCATCGCACCAGCTTTGCCACTTATGATATAACAGTTCGGATAAAGGTTCGTCCCAGCCCAATTTGCTTTGACAAAGTTCTTGGAATAAAACCTTCATTTCAGTAAATATAGGGGTAAGAACACC